AAAAAAAAAAAAAGGAAAGGTAGATATTTAATTTATAAGTCTGAAATAATCAACTTTTCTCTGAAAGATTTTATAAAGAAATTTGTGTATCCTATCTCTACTGTTATTTTTCTAGAAAATTATATTGCTTCTATTTTAAAATTTGTATTTATTTATTTGTGTGTGTGTGGGGGGTGGTATTTTGCCTGAAGGTACTTACGTATGTCAGTGCACCATGTGGGCTTTTTGCCTGAGAAGTCCAGAAGAGGGTGTCAGATCCCCTGGAACTGGAGTTCCAGATGGTTTGAGCAGCCATACCGGTGCTGGGACTGAACCCTGGGTCCTTTGACGAGCAGCAAATGCTCTTCTGGCTCCTATTGCTGCTAATTTGAAAGCATTGAAAATTTTAGTTTAGATAGACTTAAACAATCTGAAGTCTTAGCACCTAAATGTATTAGTTCAAGCAAACACTTCAAATTCATCCTTCCCTAAGATCTTCTAGGCTCAGCTCTCAGTGTCTGCAACAGGATTTTAGATGCCGGAAACCATGGCCATCTGCATCTGAAAACAGCTTCTTTCCACACCTGGTAACTTGTGAGGCAGTAGGTGAGATTGGGTGGGGGCTGCACTGGATGGAATCCAGGGTAGATATAGCTCAGTTCTCAAAGCGCAGCAGCTTCCCCCTGCATCAGCTCTGGTCTATCCCAGAGGCCTCTGTGTAAAGGCTGACTTTAGACAATGTTCCTGTCCATTTTGAGATTCAGGAGAAACTTAAGTTAAAATGTTAGGCCTCCTGCTTTTCCTTTCCTGATTCAAGGTGACAGACTGCTCGGTTCTAATTGTTTTGCATATATGTGATATTTATTTATTCATTCATTTATTTATCTAGTTAGATAGTTATGAGAAAGGGTCTATTTTGGAGACAGGGTCCTACAGCCTGGAACTCCTTCAGTTGGGCTAGCCTTTGATTTACAGTGGTCTTCCCACTTGTGCCTTCTGAGTGCTGGCCTTATGGATGGTTACTACAATTCTCAGCTGGGATTTTTACTCTTAAAACTAATTCTTAGCCAGGGATGGGAGTGGATGCCTGTAATCAGGGGCTAGAGAAGTTGAGACCAGAAGATCTCAAATTCAAGGCCAGCCTGGCTATATAACAGAATGACCGTGCTTCCCCCTCCCCCTCCCCCTCCCCCAATCCCGCTCAGGAAAACCTACAACTCTTTTGGTGAACTCTTGCTGTCATGTGATTAGACATGGTTGGACAGGGCTTTGGGTTGGCTCTGATCCCCTTTCCTCTTAATCTTTGGTTTCTTTATCTGGGAATGAAAATAAAAATTCTTTGCTATAGGATTAGTGTTTTTTCTATCCCACCTACATTCTGTAGTAATACCGTCTAAGTAACCCCTTGTTTGTTTGTTATTTTTCTTACTAAAATACATACGCATAGTGTATTTGGAGAACTGACCTATCCATCCCACCCAGGATGATAACATTTTAGTGCCTTTCTATTTTTGTCCGAGCGTGTGCGTACAGCACAAGCACAAGCTTAGAAACTGAAGGAAAGTAGGAGTCGTGCGCTTTCAGATGGTTAAAGTTTGGGCTTTACAATTAAAGTGGTCTTTCATCTCAGTGATTGGACACCTTATACTTAATCTTTTAAAACTGTTACTGTATTTTGTGTGCGTGTGTGTCTGTGTATACCACAGCATGTATGTGGTGGTCAGAGGACAACTGGCGGGAGTCAAGTTTCTGATTCCACCAAATGGGTCCCAGGAATTGAACTCAGGTTGTCAGGATCGACAGAAAGCACCTTTATCCACTGAACCATCTTGACAGCCCCTAAAACTAACCTTGCCATTTGAAATAAAAATAAATCTTGAAAGATTTTTTTGCTCACTGTGGTGGCACATGCCTTTAGTCCCAGCA